ATAAGAGGCATGCCTGCAGTCACTGGAGAGGCTGAATCAAGAGCAGTGCTCTAAATCGGGGGCTACACAAGCTACAGAGTGAAGCAAGAGGATCCAGATAGTGGGCCCTTCACATCTGTAATATTTTTATGAATCTAAGAAACCACAATCCTCAGCATGCCTCCTCCCTGAACAGGCCTTCCAGGGTACTCTATGGCTGCTACAGACTGTCTCTCGCTATGCAATCCTTCCTTTACTCTCTTTGAGGAGGCTGGATGGACTACAGAAGCATAAGACCCCAAACTATTATTACACGAAGGCCCTTTTAAGGTAAGCAAGCATAGAAATGCATCCAAGAACTCTCCTGACAGATCTTCCTGATATAAGTTTGCCTTCTACAAGGTCAGTTCTGTACACTGCCAAACAGACGCCCTTGCTGTGAGTAACTTAATGGAGCTTACAATGACCAGGAAAATAAACTTCAGAGCATGTCTGTGAGGAACTTTCTAGATAGGGTTAAATGGGAAGCCTTAGCCTGCACCAGCATCCAATCGCATGCTGCTTCCTATCTGAAAATGCAATGTGACAGCTGCCTTGGGCTCCTACTGTCACAAGGGACTGTATCGCCTCCAACTGTGTGAGCCATAAAATAAACCCTTCTATGCTGGTCAGTTTTAGTTTTAGGTTAATTTGACACAAGCTAGAGTCTTAATTAAGAAAGTGCCTCCGGGGCTAGATAGATGATGGCTCAGTGGTTAAGAGCACTGGCTGCTCTTCCAGAGGTCCTGAGTTCAATTCCCAGCAACCACATGTTGGCTCACAACCAACCATAATGGGACCTGGTCCCTCTTCTGGCCTGCAGACATAAACGCAGGCAGAACACTGTATACATAATAAATAAATAAAACTTAAAAAAAGAAAAGAAAGTGCCTCCTTGGGACCAGGCGGTGGTGGCGCTCGCCTTTAATCCTAGCAATTGGAAGGCATAAGCAGGCAGATATATGAGTGGCTTTGAGGCCAGTCTGGTCTACAGACAGCTGGGATGTTACACAGAGGACATTTTCTTGATTGACAATTGATGTGAGAGGACCCAGCTCACTGTGGGCAATGCCACCAAGCAGGCAGTCCTGGACCGCACGACAACAGACTGAGCCGGCCGAGGGGAGCAAGACAGTGAGCAGCATTCCTCCTTGGCCTCTGCTTCAGTTTCTGGGTGAACTACAGGTTGCTGAGATGAAACAAAGCTTTTCATCTCCAAGTTACTTTTGTTTGTTTTCTGAGACAGCCCTGTAGACCAGGCTGGAATTAAAGGTGCTTGTCACCACACCCAGATCCCCCCCTCTCCCGCCCCCCCCAACATGCTGCTTTTGTCAGGTATTTTGTCATCAATGAGAGGTAACCAAGGAAGCAAACATGGCCTGAGTAATGCTTGTGCTGAGGATGAAGCACAGTCAGTTACATCACTATAAAGATCACCTATAACTCCTGCCTTTGACATACATCCAAGATGACAGGTGACAGCCCAGAACACCCTGCTAACACTGTGGTGCCAAGAAAATTCAAGGCTACTATGTGCTCAGGCTGGCTACACCCTTGGGACTCAGATTCAGTTGTGCTGGCTCCCGGGTGCCCAAATGGGGCTCAGGAAGAATGCCTTATGCCCTGGCTTGAGGAGCTAGAATTCTATACACATCACTCCCAAAATGTGGAGGCTGTGGATCTGTCACGAGGCTTCAGAGGTTGCCACAGTCTATAAGACCTTTGTCTAAGTGGTTCCTGGCAATCTGAGGGCACCTTCAACCTGGGAGTCATGCTTTGAAGTCCTGATGAGGCCCTGGTCAGAGAATGGAGCCCAGGTGAAAGGAAAGAATGACTTCAGGAGTCAAGAGTCAGAGTGACAATGAAGCCTCAAGGGCAGGTGTGCTGGTGGGGACTGAGAGACCCAACAGGTAAAGGTACCTGCCTCCAAACCTGACACTTGAATTCATTTCTGGTACCCGTGTAGTGGAATGAGAGAAACCACCCCTGCAAGTTATCATCTGATGTGCACGTGTGTCCTGGTAAGCGGTCACCTACACAAATAAATACACACACACAAAATTAAAAAAAAAAAAAAAATCATTTAGGGGCTGGAGAGATGGCTCAGGGCTTAGAAGTGTTCATCTACCCCTCTTGTAGAAGACCTAGGTTCAGTTTCCAGCTACAACTAAGGGCTGAAGAAATAGCTTAGTGGTTAAGAGCACGGCTGATCTTCCAGAGGACCCAGGTAGGTTGAATTCCCAGCACCCACATGGCTCCAATCCCTCCTCTGCCCTTTGTGGGAACCAGGCATGCATGTGGTATACAGACACACACACACACAGGCAAAACATCCATCAAATAAAAATAAAAATAGGGGGGGCTGAAGAGATGGCTCAGAGGTTAAGAGCACTGGCTGCTCTTCCAAAGATCCTGAGTTCAATTACCAGCAACCACATGGTGGCTCACAACCATCTGTTATGAGACCTGGTGCCCTCTTCTGGTGTGCAGATATACATGGAAGCAGAATATTGTATACATAATAAATAAATAAAATCTTAAAAAAATAAAAATAAAAATAGGGGCTATAGAGTTGGCTCAGTGGGTAAGAGCACTTGCTGCTCTTGCACAGGACCCAGGTTTGGTTCCAACATGGTAGCTCATATCCATAATTCTAGTTCCTGGAGATCTAACAACCTTTCCTGGCCTTCTATAGGCACTGAAAGTACATGGTGCATATACAAGCTCATACACAAATAATAATAATAAATTTAAAATATGTTAAAAAGTAACTTTAAAATTTTGAGGTGATTGCCAGGAAACACTTTGGGAGCTCTTCCTTGAGCCTAAATATAGCTGACGCCTTGCATCTGTCCCATATGTGACCAAAGAATAAAAAAAGACAACATACACTGGCAGCCAGACCCACCTCCCTACCCTCTTCCCCCTTCTCTTCTTCACCATGGTAACAGCAACAGACACTCTGCTGCCCTTCCTACAACTTGCCTGGGCTCAACACCGGAATTGAGGGCACCAGAAGGCCAGAGTATCTCTCCACCTAGAACTCTGGGGAGCAGCAGACAGCAGACATCAGACCCTGTATGTTTGGCCCCACATCTACTTGCTCATTTTACCATCCAAATAATTGAGTGTTCACACAGACATGGGGCCTTGTATGAGGTTCTGGACAAGAAGCCAAGCTCTGAGCCCTCACCTTATTGCTCTTCCTCACTGACACTCTTGGTTCCTGACACATTTTCCCCTCTATGTGACACACGCTCTCAAGCACACAGCACAGGTTACCATCTGCTACTGACCCCAGAGCTCAGGGTGCCAGTCTCATTCCTCATAGGACACTGGGACAAAAGACTGCAGAGCTGGCCGCTGACCACATCAAGAGGAAGAAGTGTCTGTGACATGATGTGGGGTGAGCCAGGATCTGCATCCCAGGTTCTTGTTCACTCATTCACATAGATATCTGAGTATCCTGTGTGTGTGCATGTATGTGTGAGAAAAAAGAAATCTGAGTATCCACATGACTCTGCCATCACACGTACGATTATTTTTATTTATTTTTTCCAGACAGGGTTTCTCTGTGTAGCCCTGACTGTCCTAGAACTTGCTCTGTAGGTCACCAGGCTGGCCTTGAACTACTCTGCCTGCCTCTTCCCTACCGAGTGCTGGGACTAACAGTGTGTTCTACACCGCCTGGCAGACCTCGGATTCTTTCTTGTTGCTTTTTGAGACAGGGTTTTTCTGCGTAGCTATGGCTGTCCTGGAACTCGCTCTGTAGACCAGGCTGGCCTCGAACTCAACTCACAGAGATCTGGCAGCCTCTGCTTCCCAAATGCAGGAATTAAAGGTGTGTGCCACCACTGCCTAGTGCGACCTACTTCTTATAGTTACCATCTCCATCAGATTCTAAGGCCACAACGACCAGCTCTCTCCTTCCTGAGGTCAAGACACCAGCCTCTTCCTTCAGACCCAGTTCGGCCCTCTTCTCTTAGGTTCAATCATCCTCACCGGCCCTCTTCCCTCGACCTTGGTGCCCTCCCCAGTCCTCCTCCCCTAGACCAGGCCCCCTATGCAGTCCTCACTCAAGGAGTCAGGCTCCAGCCCTCCTACCTCACAGAAAGGCGCACAAGCCAGCCCTCCTCCATCACTTCCCTCACGCCATGTGTCCTCCCAAGGCCCTAGAGAAGCAGGCGACTTCCTCAGCGCTCTTCCTTCAGACTCACGCCTCCTCCTTTGCTCTCCTCCCTCAGACACAGGTATCCTCCTTATCTCTTACTGAGACCCAGGATCCTCCTCAGCTTCCTCCCTCAAACTCGTGAATCCTCCCGAGCCCTCCTAATCATTCTTCCTTCAGACCCAAGAGTCCTCTCCAGCCGCCTCCGTCAGACTGCATAAGGAGGGTTACTCTCAGTTCTCCACATGCACCCAACACTCACCACAGTTGCCATGATGCACACCAACCGCCAATGCCTGGGCGGAAACGGAAATCGGCTAGGGAAGGCCTTTGTCCTCTCTAGGTTCCCCGGTCATCCAGTCATCTCTATGGTTTAAAACCTATGTAAAACTCTCCTGGGGGCGTACAGTAGGCCGCGCCCACCCCAGAGGCTAAATTGGAAGGCGGGTGTCTGAGTCCTGGGCGGGTTCCTGACGTCTCCTGCTCCTCCTTCTTCTACCCAGTCCCTCACCCCGCCCCAACCGCTAACTGCGATTGCAAAATTCTGAACACTTTTAGGAGCAACCACACGTCGTCCACGATCTCTTTCCTATCTAGCCACCGTTCCTCCCCAAATTGGGCCACGGCTGAGACTGACAGCTCTATTCACCAATTACTTCTGGGCTGCGCAGCAACAAGCCCCGCCCCCTGCAGGTCCCCGCGGATCTCATCCGCCAATAAGAAGACGCCGCAGTCCGTCCCCTCTAGTCGCGGACCAATCGAGCTAGACCAGCAGGGCGGGCAGTGCCTCCTGGCGGCCGCAAGGCTTCACTGCAGCTGCCCGCCCAATTCAGTGTCGCCGCGCTGCCTACCTGAGTCGGAGCGCTCTGGGGCGGGGGTGCGGTCGTGCAATAGGAAGAGGAGCGCTTTGCAAGCTTCCCGTGGGACACCCGCTAACCCGGCCGGTCTCCAAGTCTGGTGCAGTCCCAGCCGACAACTCCGGTTTCTATTTTTGGTGCTCGAAGCCCCCTGCTCTTAGCAGCCATGCCTCTCAGCCGCAGTCTGTCCATGTCATCGCTTCCAGGACTGGAAGACTGGGAGGATGAGTTTGACCCGGAGAACGCAGTGCTTTTCGAAGTGGCCTGGGAGGTGGCCAACAAGGGTGAGAACGCCAGCCTCGGTCCCTTGACCGAGGAGAGCAGTCGAGGATGGGGGTCCCAAAACGTATTCATAAGGGCACAGAGCTGAGAGGGGGGAAGCTTGGGTCCTGTGAAAAGCGCCCGTGACTTCTGTGTCCTTGTGGAGGGGCAGGAGTGTGCGTCCTAGGCCCTGGGGGGAAGGGACAGGAGACTACTCTTAAGATGGAAGGAGGCCTCAGGTCCTGCGATGTAGGGAAGAGGGCACTCAGAAAAATTCCTGGGTCTTGGAGGGAGGTTTTCGAGGGCCGAGAGACCTGGGACCTAAAAGGGGAAGGCGCTGATGCGTCTAAGCGGGGGAATCGAATCGGGACACGACACGGGGACGGGGACACTGGAGCTGTTGGCTCTGTGGTACAGAGGATGTGACTAGATTAGGAAGAGTCTGCTCCTGAAAGTTGGGACTCGTGGATTGTTAGGGAGTATGGCGGACCTGACCACTTTAGTGTAAAGATGAGGGGGACCTGGAGACTCGAATTCTTAGGTTCAAGGTGGGAAATAGTTCGGAACTTGAATGATGAGCTGTGAAGGAGCCCAGGCCTGAGCCGTGGCTTCCTAAGTGGAGAGAGGTGTCTCACTGTGGCCCGATCACTTACATACTGGAATGGGAATGCTGGATCCTAAGTTTGTCAGGGTCTGGGCCCTATGATGGGAGGAACCTACAGCACGCAGTTGTGTGTATGGGAGTCTAAGGACCACTAACTTCTTGCTCATGAGAAGGCTGGGCTGTGTGGATCTGAGTGTTTTATTTTCTGAATCTTGCGGGAGAAAGACACTGGGTTTCCTAGCATGGTAGGATTGGCAGACTCAGTGTTGTGTACTGCCAGGGTACTAGTTTTAGGCTGAGGACCCAGATTCCTAAGTCTGAGATGGGGTCGCAGGAGGGCAAGGGCCAATGTGCCTGTGCCCCAGCCCTGAGTGAGCATAGTCAGGACCCAAGGAGGTGACGAATGTTAATTCCAGCTTCCCTTAGGTAACTGGTAAGTTGGATGGGGCCATATATCATTCTCTCCAGTGCATCTGAAAGTTGGAAGCATTAAACCTGGGTCTGCAACCCTTATTTTTCCAGCCCCAAATTCCCTCAGACTAGGAGCCTTTCCTGTCCCAGGACCAAGAGTCTTCCTGGAGCCTGCTCCTCTCTCAGCATCCTCATCTTTGTCAGATCTCTCCCCCAGGAGGGCTGCCCTCCAGTCTGCTTGCCATGATCCAAGCCCCTAGCCCCTACCTCCTCTGATTCCCAAATATGGGCTCCTGCCTGTCTTCTGTCCCATCATCCCCCCTGCGTCTCAAAGCTATGGACCAATGGTGGGATTGTCTGTCCTTTTGTACTTTGGCCCACAGTGGGTGGCATCTACACTGTGCTGCAGACGAAGGCAAAGGTGACAGGGGATGAATGGGGTGACAACTATTATCTGGTGGGACCATACACGGAGCAGGGTGTGAGGACCCAGGTAGAGCTACTGGAGCCCCCAACTCCTGAATTGAAGAGGACTCTGGATTCCATGAACAGCAAGGGCTGTAAGGTGAGACCTAGTCCTACCCAGGGGGTGGGAACGTGGCCTCAGCAGGGGTCTAACAACAGGTAGCGGAGGGAGAATGGAAGCAGGAGGCCTGGAAAGAAAATGGTAGCATGTCCCCAGCAAATCTAGGGAAGAAAGTGATAGACAGGTACAGGATCTGGTGAAGAAGGCCAGTGGGTACTAGATGTCTGTGAACGGCCAGATGGATGGAGATGGATGTAAGTGGAGGGAGACCTTCAGATCCACAGGGTAGAAACAAGCTGGAGCTAGAAAGATAGCCAGAGCCATGTTCACACCTGTAATCCCAGCATCTGGACCATAACAAGATGCTGTCTCAAAATAAATCAAATAAAATAAAGAACAATAGTCAGGGAAAAAGATGGAACATTGATGGAGAGAGGAGACACAGGGAAATAGTGTCTAAGATGAGCAGATCTAGGGACCTAAGAGATCAGGAAAGGCGAGTGGCCCAGTAATAGATTCCCCTGCCTAGAATCCCCCAATGAGGGGCTAGGGTGTGGCCCAGTGGTAGATTCCCCTGCCTAGAATCCCCCAATGAGGGGCTGGGGTGTGGCCCAGTGGTAGATTCCCCTGCCTAGAATCCCCCAATGAGGGGCTGGGGTGTGGCCCAGTGGTAGATTCCCCTGCCTAGAATCCCCCAATGAGGGGCTAGGGTGTGGCCCAGTGGTAGATTCCCCTGCCTAGAATCCCCCAATGAGGGGCTGGGGTGTGGCCCAGTGGTAGATTCCCCTGCCTAGAATCCCCCAATGAGGGGCTAGGGGTGTGGCCCAGTGGTAGATTCCCCTGCCTAGAATCCAAGCATGGTCCGTGTGTTCAGTCTTAAGAACCACAAAGAACTGTCAGTCAGTCTATGCAATTGGAAGACAGAGGCAGGCAGATCTCTGTGAGTTCAAGGACAGTCAGGGCTACCCAGGGAAACTCTGTCTTGAAAAATCAAAAAGAAAGAAAAGAACCATAAAGAGAAAAACAAAAAGTGAAGGAAGGTAAGAAGAAGGAGAAAGCCTAAAAGAGATGTATCTGACTTCTGGGGAGAGGGCCATGAGAGGCAGGCAGAAGTTACAGATAGGTTAGGGACTGGAAGACAGACAAGTGCTTATTCACAGCCTGTGTTTGGGGTGGGCTCCAGCATTCAGTCAGGCCAGACTATGTCCCTACAGGACCCCAGAGCAGACACGTCCCTCCCCCAGGGCAGTTGTTCCTAATAATAGACCCCTCCCAGCAAAAGGGCAGGCAACAGCTGGGAGGGGGAGGGGGACC